AAATAAAATACGTTAAGGTAAATTGGTTGGTTCTCCAGGATTCGAGCGTACTTCGTATTTATTGTTCACATTTACAGACTTCGTCGACTGGAACAATAAGGAGATGCAACTTGTTTAAGATCACAAGACTGAGATCAAAGTCATGGACCACCAATGTAACTTAACAACATAACGTAAGTAATGAAAAGTGACATCAAGTTTCCGAAACTGTCATCAACCCAGCTACAGACTGTACTCTTTTTCAGGATGACAGAATATTAATTAGCGACAAGAAAAGTGCACAAAAGTTATAAAATGTAAAAATATCAAAGCTACGTAGGCCTATCTATATCAATAAAGACAAAGGCTTATTGTCAAATTCCTGATATGATTTTCTCGTTATATCACTGTCATACTAATATAGAATTAAACATATTCACACACTTTTTTGTGCATTATTATGTAGGTAAAGAAATATCAACCAATATGCACTTATTTTTGTGAAAGTTTAATTTAAAGTAACTTGCGGTAAGTTTTCAAAAGTTCCCAACAATGCTAAAACGTTTACGTAAACCTCTTAAAATCTAATTCTTGTTAGATGTTATTCTATAACTATTGTATGGATTTCAGAAAAATAATGCTACATAGTAAAATAATGCTAAATTGAAGAGAAATATGTTTCCTACTTATTCTGAACTACAATTTCTTAAATTTCATAACAACCAATAATCAAAAAAAAAATGTCAAAACACATGCATCTTTTTAATGAGTTCTTATTCTAAATTAAGATATCATTAAATTTTTCATGTAAGTCAAAATAATTAGTTATTTAAGATCTTGATGAAAATAACCATCTTTGAGCAGTTTAATCGATCATCAAGAACCATAGCGTGTTATTGAATGACAGCAATAAATTTAGCTTTTTTCAATTTCCGTCTTTCATTGAATCTTTTTGCGTTCAAACATATCTTGTGGCTTTCGTGTGCAGTGAAAATCTATTTCTTATAGAATCTGATTGATACAAATTGTTCTATTAGACGACAACCAATTACCAGGAAAACGTGGAATGAGATCCAGAGCTTTTAAATTGTCTAGAATATATTTCTGGTCGACTTCCAGCAATTCTCCTTTTTCAATTAATGTCTATCTGATAGCTGATGGCTCATAACGTTATCATGTGACCAGTTCTCGAGCCCGTTTCCAGATGTCGTGATCGGAAATAACGACGCTGTCAAAAAAGCCCCTAAACCGGAAAATGGAGGCAATTTGCATGGAAATAGAAAAATTGAGTGAGAGATGATGGTAGATGATGCGACTCGATTTCCTTTTAGTCTCTGTGTGTTATAAAACAAGGTTTGATTGTAGGAGAGGAGTATTATTATTGATGATATTTCTAATTAAATTTGAATTAATCACCACAAATAGTTAAGACTATAAACAGGGGGAGATAATTGGGTTTTTGGTTAACATGATTGTAAAGAATGTAACACGCTGTAAAAGATGACATATGTAACAAAATGCTAATCACCCTCTTTATTAAAAGTGCTGAAATTACTCGGTGAATTTGTGAGACAAATGATGAGCTGTAAATCTCGCGAGTCTTGTAATTCCCCCACGAGAAGTGAGATTAAATCTGAAAGTGCGCGAGCCGCCATTTTATACTCTTGAGACGGCTGTCAGATAAAAGAGCTAAAATAAGAAGACTGTCACGGCAAAATCTGACTACTTAAGTACCAGAATTGAGTTTTTGCCTTGTCAAAACGTGTTCTACAAACTCAGAAATTTGTCGTTATAGCGGCAGTGTGTGCCGATTAACATTAAAATTACATATTCATAAATATTTTGAACATAATCTTTCTTAATGTCAGATAAAACTGAATTTTGTTTGCTAAAATTAAAAAATCGGACTGTTCTCTAGAAAGTTTACAAAATAAAATTAATTCATAAAACAAGTGACATGAATGGAAACTAAGACAAAGATTTAATCATACTAAAGGGACAGATGTGCCATTTTTCTTTTTTAGCAATAGTACCTTAGTCTCAGAAACGGAGTTTTTAACTTAGACAATCAGTACTAATGTTCACATCTCACAGTCGAAATTTGAGCCTTCAAATCCATTTTTGTCCAGAATTATCCGCGTTTGAATGTTCACATGACGACCTGTCATTATAAGATACTCTTCGATATCTAGTGAGTAAAATATTAGTTTGCTATTTTCTTACATGTCTAGTACTTCTGAAAAGATTGACAAATATAGTGGTATGAATGCGGTTGAAATTCACTTTTCTTTTTATTGAAATGTACAATTGCATTTTTAGAAATATTACACACTCACAAAACAAAAACCATTCACAAAACTTGTAACTGTATACGACGGTTTTACTAAAACTTTTATTGCACCTACTTTCCTGGAACATTTGCGATACTCTATTTTCTAAAACAACCTCTCTCACCAAATTTGTTCGAGTGATAAATCATGCACAATTAGACTGGAAATTAATGTGAACTCCCATCTGACAATTTAAATATCGTATAGTTTATCGACGTATCACATTCTCTGACTGTCTTGTTACAGTTTGATCTACAACTGGTAATAATTCTAATATTTCAAGTGTAAAATAGTTGAAAACAATTAGAGGGGGCAGTGGACTTGAACAAATCTTGTAGCTGAAGATTACACGACTTAGTCATTTTATATCTATTACAATGTAAAACTATATCTGAAAGAGTTAGACCAGTATGTGTTAAACCATGGACATTTTATGCAAATGATTGTATACGAATTTAGTCCGTTCTATTATAAGAAGTTCTCTTTCTTTTTGTCCATAAACTAAGCATTTGGCAGACTTTCATGTGATAAATTGGAAAGTTTTTGTTGAGATTTCTTGAAAAAGTTATAGAAGGTCGAATTTGTGACTCATTACTTTAAGGGAATTTACTTTACATTAAATCACCAAATTCAACATTTTTCTAAATCTTTCAAAAATGTTCTTTATGCCACTTGGATGTCAAAATCTTATTATGTAAATGATGAACATGCAAATATACCTCTGGAGTCTGGAGTGACAAAATGGATTAAGTCATTCGGGAGACAACTCTTCAATATGGATGTGACGCTATTCCCTGTAATCCAAAGTCGGACATTTCAGAATTAAAATTTTGTGGGGTTTTCCCTTTAATACCCAATTCAACTAAATCTGCAAATCTATCAGATATTGGAGATGCTGGAGTAATTTCGTTCCAACCAATAACACATTGTTTTAAATACTCGCAGATAGATAATTGTTCAGAAATATAACATTTAAATTTGCCTGAAGATAATTCAAATTGCATTAAATGGTATGGAAGTAACTAAATATTACGCTATGGGCTGGTGAATTAAACTTTGCTCTGTAGAAACCAGAACTGTATAAATTAGACAACAGTTCAATTTGATTTTCTCTAAATCTTTATAAACATGTCAAAATCTACTATATATTATTATTGTATTGTTATAACCAAGCCCCGGGCATTGACTTGTTTTATACTGACCACACTCTTACACCAGCGTGTCTTATGTTTATTCAGTGTTCACATTATTAAATTGATCTGTTCCACCTACATGATTTTTTAAGGAACTCGCATGTAGCGCAATATTACCACTATTAGACAGCCCGGGATTCCGGATGGAATCTGTGTATGTTCATGCATGGGATTCCATACCCACCCGTTTAATCTATATTCTACTGTTCTGACAATCCCGGTCTGGAATCCACAACCAGCATACTAACGAAGTATTTTTATCATGCAACGGCTATAATATTTTTACATGTAAGTTTGTACACCATATTCCAAGAAAACTCTGCAACACCGTATATGGTCACTTGGGCTTTTCAAATTGCCGAAACTACTGTGTTTTCACTTTAGTAGGTAGGCTATATCTCGTAGCCTATTAAGGATAGTTTATAGATAGTAACATGATTTTCAAAACCAGCTTATCAACTCGCTTCTCTAAACTTTCATTTTGTAAATATGAACACACAGGAAACAAATGAATATTATACGAATATGGTCAGAGATTAACAAGAAGCTATTTGGATAAAGTGAATGGTTTATATTCATTGATAAGAAGTAAATTTTGAAAAATAGTTTATCATTATTTAAATACGACATAAATCCTGCTATTATCAACATGTGAAGGTAGATTGACCACTTCAAATGCAGTTGCGGCGCCAGTAGGGGTACATGGGGCATTTGTCCCTCGAAAAGGATAAAAATATTTACATCCCATTTGTACCCCCAAATTTATAAATTAGAGGTGTTATTATACTGACCTAAAATGTGTGTCAGAATTCACCAAATCGATGAAATTTTTTGAAATTTTTCTTGGGAGGACCCTGTCAGAAGCTCCATGAGAGGCTTGAGCCACGACAACTTCCACAATTTTTTGAATTTAGTCAGTTGTTCCACCATTGAGTGAGTCTGTCCTCTATTTGTATCCGCAGTCTCGGGAGGCTGGCACTGCCACTGTTCAAATGATTCATTATTAAGAATTGAGTTTCGTTTGCCAAAGACAATAGTCGAAATTAAGTAAAGGGAAACAACCCTATTTTGTCAATTATGGAATTGGAACACTGGAAATAAAGAGATTTTGGTGTGCAAGAATGTGTGTGAAAGTTGGCGTTTCTTCACAGCCAAATGTTACATGTACCAGTTGTATATATTTTGAGACAATATGTATTGGCCAGGCTTTCATGTGACATATTGGCAAGGGTTATATAGAAGGTTGCATTTTGAGATTTAACATGAAAGAGGTGGTAATTTCAAACCTTGATAAAGGGGAGATAATACAATTTTATTAAACAGAAGACTACGTTAATTGCCACAAAGGGCTACGGAATACTACCGTAGTACTGATCTAAAAAATACTTTTAGAGATAGTAATTTGCTTCAAAAATGTTTTGTGATTTGTCATGGCAAAATGCGCTGGTAAAAATATCAGAACTGAGAATTATTTTTAGTTTACAAATTGTTAACGAGAATGGGCGATATAAGTGTTCGATTTCTCGTTCCAGAATGGTTTCATATGATAGAACACGGGTCATGGAAAAGCACCATGAATCAAACACATCCCGGGATGCCACGCGATTATCGCAAGGAAATGTACAACAAAAATCTGGAGGTTCCAGATAAAAGGTATACACTGCATCGACAGCCAATCGAAAAGATTTTTCGTGAATCCAACGAGACTCGGGCAGTCAGTGTTTACGGCCTATATCATCATGTTACTCGGGGAAAGCTTTAGATATTGGACTTTCCGAAAAAACATTTTCAGGTTAAAAAAAGAAGCATTTCAGCACAACAAGTACGGTTAAAGCACAACGGTGAATTATTCAATATGGATCTTAAATCTAATGTTTATTTTACAATTCACAACAAAGGTCAAGGAGGTTAATAAAAGCAATTTAAAGGAACATTTCACATTAGATAATTGACATGGCATACGATAGAGCTACGATTCAACTAGCATTAGCTAGATTTAGTATAATTGGACCCACTATAATATTTACTCAATAAAGAGTTAACTAATAAAGAAAAACCTTTGCTTACAAAATACCCACAGCACTATAATAGGTCCTTTATGTTGATACAAAACCCAATATTTATATATGTTGTCAAAGTGAGAATAGAAATCATTGTATTGGTTATAATTGAATGTCCTAGTTTATTACAGAAGTGACAAATACTATTTGTTCATTTTAGATATACGAGAACGACTTTATTAGTAAACAACATATTAGACTAAGGACTGTAAAATGTAGACCCAACAAGGTAAGATTTTCCTAAAAAATGCTTAAACAACCATCAAATTTTACCCTAATTATTTATAACACCTGATGCTACTGTGGGATTGGTTGGTTGGTTGGTAGATAAAAAGTTAATTTTCGCTTCCAGCGAATGCTGATATCCCGAAATAGGTAGTTCTTGGTAGTCGTAGTAGTTGGTAGCTGGATTGGTTCAAATTTGAAGATGCTGTGGTTTGGTTGTAAATAGTTCGCGAGATCTGGTCGGGTCGAATGGCATGGCGGTGAAACTCGGCCCTGGGTGGTGTGGCGTGAGTTACTCGATCTTCTTCATTCGTCCAAACTCCAAAATTCGTTCTGATCATGGTAATTCTTGTTGATTGGTAGTCAAATGGTGGTCGTTGGTTTGGTTTGGTTTATCTGATAACTGTTTGAAAACTAGATGACCTAAAGAAAAGAAAAAAGATTCTGAGAAAAGACGGGGAAAGAGAAAAAATAAAAAGGGGGAAAAGCTTTCAACAAAAGAGGAAAAGATGATGTTCTGTGATGTTTCTGCAGTGATACTTGTTACATTGATGGGATATAATTTTCTGTGTAAAGAAACTTTGTGAGTAAAAACTTTTCAAGACAGATAATGTAATAAATTGATATACGAGTTCCATTATCGTATACCAGTGGTCCGTGGGTGGATCAAAACATTCTGTATGGTGAGTGGAATGCCGTTGGTTTCCAGGTACTCTGTGTGGCTTGCAAGCGGGTTTCAGTTCCGTGCATTGAACGTCGCATCAATATTTAATGGCGTTGAACTGATGGTCTCGTAGTACGTTGTTGGTATGAAGTCTGTTTACAAGTTTGCAGATGTGGGACTGGTTTGACAGCTTCGACTAATTAAGGTACTGAAGACCATTACGTGGACTAATCGTTGATAGCTGTTGTGAGCTATTGAACGAGATTTTATTGCCATCGTTGGAAGTGTCGTGAGCAGTGCAGGGCTTCACAGTTCTGTATTTTCAGAATCACTGCCAGCAAGCACGTGAAAGATAAGAATTAAGCATTCCACTGTTCAGTCACTCGCAGGATATAATATGATGGTATTTGTTTCTCTCTCAACCATAGTGAGCACATCTTCATTTCTGAAATATTTATTGGTGCAGTTATTACATGTTAGGATCGCATTATACATTAATGTGGTTATATTATTAAAATAAATATATAAAAGGCCTACCTAGACTTATTATCACCTAGCTAGATGTTTTACACATCTCCCAAACAAAATTCCAATAATTTCAATTGTAACCAAAGTGTTCTTTAAGCATATTTCAAATAAATGACGACCAATTTACGGCAGTTTTCTTTTGTAATTGATTAAAATATTTAGTGTTCTATCTGTTATGAAATTGATATGTACATATAAGTGTTATGAGTTTTAGTGTTAATTCAATACTGTGTACTTACCAGAACAATGCCTGATTATGATTTTCAACAAATCTGTCCCTTACCAGTTTCATCATGTCGACCCAAAACATAAATGGTTTTAAACTATTTACATTAACAAATATGCAAATTCGTATCCTATTCTATTAATTTAGATGTTTTGTCCAGTTGTAAGGCCATGAAATTCTCTCGATCATTCATACATTTGTCTGTATCTAAACCGCCCATTTTCACTGTTGATTCAGTATTGAAATTTCAGAAGAAATTGGCGATCTATTCATTATGGCCACCTACAAGATAAATATAACGACAATTTTTGTGAGAATCGACTAAATATGTCCAAAATGACCATTATTACTGCAACTAAACAACAAAAATACCATGGACCCTTATAGATTACTATTATTATTACTTGCTCTTCCGAACAGTGTAGTCTGGCTACGGACCTGGCAATAGAAAGAGGCAACGATTTCCAATATTGCAATTCTTCGCAAGAATAACACATTAACACAAGCCTACCTTTTAAAAACTGGTTTCTGCCAATATAAGCTAAAAGAGATATTGTTTTCTTGGATATCAGCCGGAAAAATGACAAATGACTTCAGTAAATACACACTCAATGATTTCAACTCATGCTGCGGCTATGAAAACGATGGTTAGAGGTCAAAGTTAAACCTTTTCTCGAGCTATACTTAGTACAAATGAGTGAAAGTTATTAAAGTTATTAAAGGGACACGTTTGCAATCTGTTTAGAAAATGCCAACACACGGTTCAGTATTTCTGTCATTAATGCCAACAATACTTTGGTGATTGTTCATTGAAATTCTGAAAATATTGACGCAATATATTAAATCAATGTATTGAGTCAATGATATTGATGGCCATATTGAACGGTTATGGATCCTTTAAGAAATGAATGCATTACTGACGGAGTATTGAATCAGAAGTTTGAATCGACTTTCTTTTATATGAAAAAAGTGGGAGAACTCAGAATAGACATTTTTGTTGTGTTCTTTCAAAAACATTGAATTGATTTGAGGCATTCTGACACATCTTTTGGGCAAAATCCTCCAAAAATAATATATTTATAAATTTGATAAATATATAGTGGTACAAAATTTCATTTATGGTCGCAAAAAGATGTGTGTTACACCAAGAATACCTAAGTTATTTGTGCCCCAGGACAATGTAAAATCAACACGTTTTCTTGTCAATGTTAAAAAACTTAAAAAGGACAGACTGAAAAGGATGCAAGGTGACCAAAGTGCTCAAAGAAATCGAAGTTATCCCAGTTTATTTTTTAGATTTACTGATTTACAATAACGCAGGCTGTAGTAGAAACAGGTGGAGACACACATAACGATTAATATACTCATAGATTAACTAAGAAATAAATACCTGTTCTGGATCACTTTTCTTTTTGTCCATATCTTATTTTTACTTTATGCTTTATGTGAGTCTCTTTTTCCAAACACCCTTTCTTTTTCCAGATGAAGTTCCACCAAAGAACGTTTGCCTATAAATTTGGAGTGTTTCTGTGTATAATATCAGTACCGTCAGCTATCCTGGGTCTAGGATTTCCAACATGGAAGAAAGACTCGGTTTCAATGCACGGATTGTTCCAGACTTGTGGAAAACTCCTGGACTTCTCAACTTGTACCACTATAGACTTATATTCTTATGGAGGTGAGAAAGAGCCCATTAATATACGGTACGGTGTCGTGATTCAATGAATTGAAGGTCCTCATACACGATCAATATTTTTAAAAACTTTTTTCATATTTGATGGTAGAGTCTGTCGCACTGGCAATAGTTCTTTCCCTGGAGGATACTGCAAACCGAAAAAGAGGAATTATTGATCAATATTGACGCCCACACTCAGTCACTCTAATTGACGAGCCGTCAATAAATATCACAGGAACTTCGATCCGTCAATACATAGTTGCTTCAATGTATTGTTTCAATTAATTGCCGTCAATGTCGCCCATACACGATCAGTTTTCTCGTCAATTAATTGACATCGATTAAACGAGGTTTTCTAGCCTTATGTGTATCGGGGACACTTTTGACTTCTATTTGGAACATTGCAATTCTTCATCCAATGCCCGTGGTACCTTCAACTCCAGAAAGGTTTTACCGGAAATGATAATACTACTACTACTGTACTAACTTGATTTACCAAATGATCACCTCACTGTATTCCAAACCGGTCATTTTATCATAAATAAGGATATTTAGCGCCCTGATTTGCACTTAATATCAAACAACTTTTCCATTCCGTTTAAACTAAGCAATATAAGACGTAGTAAAGAGTTATATAAGGCAACGGTGAAGCAAAATGTGAATGAGTCTGCAATTATTAGAAATTAGAAATAATATTATCATGTCATTGTGGTCTGGTGGTGGGTGGGTTACGAATTCTTTCGCGGGAGCTGTGTCATTTCCAGTTAACTCTTTCTTGAATTGCAGGAACCACAGGCATCGGACGAAGAATTGCAATGTTCCAAATAGAAGCCAAAAGTGTCCCCCATACACATTAAAAGGCTAGAAAACCTCTTTACAATCCCTATAATTGACGTGTATTGGGACATGAGAAAGCATTTACTGTTGCTGTAAATAAAACAGATTACACCACCATATTGAAATATGTTTAAGATACATTAAAGTAGGCTTAAGCGATATGCAATGTGATTAAGAACGACTCTTTAATGACAGAAATATTGAACCGTATGTTGGCATATTGATGGTTTTATTGAACGTGTATGGAACCCTGTAAACTAGTATCATTTCTAGTTTCATTTAATGACTTTGATTATCCTACGCAGGCCTATTCCTTAGTTTGCGCTGTAATCTGTTTCAACACAATGACCTTACAATTGTTTCTACCCAATTCATTCGTTTATTACAGCATGGTTTGAAGCAGTAAGAGCTCTAGAGATAATCAGCATAATTCTGATGTTTTTTGATGTTATTTTTATGATCAGAAGAAAACCCAGTCGGCTTGAAGGATTTGATGCATTTATTGTAGGTGTGTTTTAGTTTTCTGATTATAACCTTTAATATAGGAGAGGTCACAAAGAGCGAAAACATATTTTCTGCTTCTTCTCCATTCCCCTGAAAAAAAAAACAAATAGGACGTAAGTCTCTTTTCATTTCTTGTCATTTGAAAAAAAAATGGATTGCATCTCCCAACACACTGTCAACCTACCCATTTCATGACTGCAACTATACACCATACCCCATTGCCCCTCGGGATATATCACTTGCCTTTCCGAACAATGGAGTCTCGCTACGGGCCTGATTCGAGATGCTTTGTCATGGTGTTCATCGAAAACAAGACACACAAGGGAGGTAACTTGTATAAAGGAATAATCATCAAAAAACCTTCATTACAGCTCTCCTGTACATAAGTGGGCCAGCAGTGTATGCTTACTACGTTAAAGCTACCGATTTTGGACAAGGTGCAGTGTTTTCTTGGGGGTTTATACTTGCTTGTTTTAGTGGTGGATTAGCTGGAACTGGAGCAATATGTATGTGCGGTAGTGAGTTCACACCGGATAACCGAATAGAGCCGTACAGTGAAAGACAGAAAGAGAAAAAACGACAGAAGAAGAAAATGTTCTCACCTAAAGACTGGAACAGATTCCCAGATCATGGTTCTCATTTAGAGAAGGATTACTATAGAGATTATTATAAAGATCGTGATCCAGAATGGGACTATCTTCATAGATTCTGATGAATCAATAATTTGATGATGTGAGAACATATTTGGTGGGATATAAACGGTTTTAGTATTATACGTTGTACATTTTTAACGTGTGTATTCATAGATAATACTCGAACATTAAATTATCAATTTTTTTTTTATATCCAGCCTTTGCTACATCTTCATATCTAAAACCTTTTACTGAATAGACTTGATTGCTCGTCTGGCGTATAAAATCATTAGTTCCACAACAATAAATACTGTGGTGAAGCAGGACATATTTAGAATACCCATCCGGCGCCTTCAATGGAAGTAACTTGAGACAATCCCTGTCGAGTCTTCAATTACCTTAATGTGTGGTACACAGAAATGAATATAGTTCTGCTCAGTCGAGTTCTTTGTAAACTTTTTTTTAAAAAAAAATTTATTACGTAAACTAAACTGTAAACTGTGTTTTGTTATTGTCACAATATTATATTGGTATTTGTTATAGTTCTGTAACAAAACTTTGAATTGGGGAAATTGTTACGAGAACATGATTGTTGATTGATGGAAATCGCCGAGACTCAATAAGAGATACATAACCAATCACCAATTTCAGTGTATAAAACAGACAGCTTATACGCAATAAAGTGTAAGTAGTCTATTGTTTTTCCAATAAAAAGAATCACACTGCAAATTGGCGAAGGCTAGGATCTCAAATAATATGAGTTTATGTTTATCCTAAGTCACAAAATCGTAAACCCGATTATCGTCTGGTGAAAACTAGTTAACTTATGTTATGTAATTTCCATTTGATCCACAGCAATGACTTACATGTATTTTGACTTAATCCACTCGGGGGATGATAAAAGTCATGTTATCTCCCCTTCATTACTAATGTTAGCATTATAAAAAATTATACAGGACCTCCGTCAAACCATCGCTCCAATTGAAGTCACAAAGACTGAAAAATCCCTGAAAATATCTCTTCTGAGCGTATAACGTTACAATTATTTTGTATTATTACCATATTGATCATTGGTAAAATTGTTTTTTTTTTTTACTTTACACTTCTTTCTGATACGCTCACGCCAGAATGTCATTGTTAAAACATGACATTTTCTAAAAATTTTTGTGAAAATCAGAGTGAAGTTCGATTTTACATTCAACTTGTCTCAAGCTGCCTTCATATTGTGGTCATACATTATTATAAAATTCGGTTGTAACTACATCATTTTCATTATCAAAATGAAAACCACGTTTAATCGTTTATACTCCTCTTTATACATTTTCGACTAAAGGCCGCACCAGTTAATAAGGGAACTGAGGACTCGTAATCGAGTCATGTATTACACAAAATTAACACTTACAGGAAATTTTTCGAATAGCATACGGCTAAAATATATCATTAAGAACAGTACAAAGAAACTGCACAAGCTTTAAAGCAATGTTTCAAAATACTAAGTTCTAAATTTCTCGCAGCAGCTCTTTTTCGTAACTGTTAGTACATTAAGGTTGTGTATACCACTTGTTAGTGGTCACTTGTTAGATTCAGGTTAGTGGCTACCACTCGTCAGATTCAGGTTAGTGAATATCATTTGTTAGATTCAGGTTAGTAAATACCACTTGCTAGATTCAGGTTAGTGAATACCACTTATTAGATTCGAGTTAGTGAATACCACTTGTTAGATTCAGGTTAGTGAATACCACTTATTAGATTCAGGTTAGTGAATACCACTGGTTAGATTCAGGTTAGTGAATACCACTGGTTAGATTCAGGATGGTGAATATCACTTGCAAGAGTCAGGTTACTAAAAACTACTTGCTAGATTCAGGTTAGTGAATACCACTTGTTAGATTCGGGTTAGTGAATACCAATTGTTAGATTCAGGTTAGTGAATATCACTTGCAAGATTCGGGTTAGTAAATACCACTTGTTGGATTCAGGTTAGTGAATACCATTGGTTAGATTCAGGTTGGTGAATATCACTTGCAAGATTCGGGTTGGTAAATACTACTTGCTAGATTCAGGTAAGTGAATACCACTTGCTAGATTCGGGTTAGTGAATACCACTTGTTAGATTCAGGTTAGTGAATACCACTGGTTAGATTCAGGTTAGTAAATACCACTTGTTGGATTCAGGTTAGTAAATACCACTTGTTGGATTCAGGTTAGTAAATACCACTTGGTGGATTCAGGTTAGTGAATACCACTTGCTAGATTCAGATTAGTGATTACCACTTGTTGGATTCAGGTTAGTGAATACCACTTGCTAGATTCAGGTTAAATACCACTGGTTAGGATCAGATATGTGAAAACCACTTCATATGTTCAGATTTACGAATACCACTAGATTAGTTATAGCAACTTGTTATACTGATCGCCAGTTGAGTTTTGTGAATATCAATTGTTAGGTTTAGGTTATTGAATACCACTTGTGAGGGTAAGATTTATGAGCACGTTTGCGTTTGTTACGTTAGGGTTAGTTGATACGGATACCACTTGTCAGGTTCAGTTCTGTGAATACGGCGTGTTTGATTTATGTTACTGAATACCATGCACCATTTTTAGGCTTGGTTTTCTGATTACCACAAGGTAGGTTCGGGTAGATACAAGTTTCATGATACGTTTAGTGATTACTTTATAGGATACCAATTTGTTATGGTTTTGTGGGAGGCTCTTGTGAATAAAATCATTATTACTTTACTACTATAAAGCAGATTCTTTATTAATAGTCCATTATGATAGTCTCGAGATATATATCTTTAGATACAAATATATTTAAAGAAATACAATAGATAGACGTATTATTATATGAATTGTAACGAACTCTACATAAGTATTATGCAAGTTTTGTTCATCAGCCTGACGACCTGTCAGCAATATCGGATCAACAAAAGCTATCTGTGCATTGCACCCTTTGGGGATACGGAATGGCTATTTTATAGCCACTTAAAACATAGATTTGTCCTAATCTATGCAATTGTTATGGCCAGAGGCACTCCTACGTAAACTATACGTAAATTGTTGTTTAACGGTTTTATCTTTTTCGACAATTTAGCCACAGGGTGCTATATGATATGAAGCCCGTAATAATCTCAATGTCAAGCAAACCTTGCTAACTTTTGTCCAAGATCGCAGATCGCTTTTTTGATCACAACTAGAAGCACTATAGAAGATATAAACAATGGAATTAGAAAACTAATTTGTCGCTCAATATTTATGAGATTATGCTTTTTAACTGAGAGCATATTTATGCATCAAATAAGCCCATTAAATTTTCTCCAGGCATATACCTTCGCTAAACCTTAAACGGATGAGGCCATGCCTAATGAAATAAATTGATTCCCTGTATCGTATTTGAATAATGAAGCGGGTCACACATGGTAAACCCTTCCACACTACACCACAACAGTCGTAATTGTTCTCTTTTTAACCGAGCAACAACCTAGGCTAACTTGATTTCAAATATATTTTCTCTTCCTTTCAACATATCTATCTTAAAATTTAGTGTAGTAACCAGTGAACCTGTAAAGATAACCACAGATTACTAATGCATGACTAATATAAAATATATATCGTTACATTTTGACCACGCTTACAGTGGTTATCGCCCTTTATCATATGTTTTAGCGGAGGTCATGTGATTGCTTGAGGCACCTCCAGCAGACGACCGATATGTATGTATATATATATAAACTAGTATACACGTTATCTTGTATGGGATAGAGTTCGTTTAGCTGGTGTTCTTGAGCACAATACTTATTTAAACTTTATTTTAACCGTTGAGGAAATACCTCAATTTAATTATGTTATAAATGCATTGTTTATAATGGTGATGGCATGGACTTGTAAAGTTTTTGTTGTGTAGTGTCCTATTTAGTAGTAAACATCGAATGTGTGACATAGTTTTAAACAAAATGGGAAGTTTACAAGAATTAGAACATCTTTTAAAACGAAAAGATGACAAAATTCGTGAACTGCAAAGACAGTTGGATGAAAAGGAGATGAAAATTCAGGAATTACGAAGCCAGTTGGATAAATTTCAGTCAGTGTTACCAGCCACAGTGAGACCACTATTAAATGGTCCCAGGAAACAACGAGCACAGGGTATCAGTGCTGAACCACAAAATTTCAGAACTATTCAAGACTTGTCGCAAAAGACCTTCAGGAAACATTCTAAAAATAACAGGTAAGGCACCATTGACTTTAAAAACATGCTACAATTTGACCCATATTCTACACCCATGATATTAATAAACATTACACAGGAAACTGGCGTTTAAAATCACGTTTAAAATGTAGTTGAACCAAACCAAGCTGTTAGTCGTTTAGGTCTTATTTATAAACAATACAACCATAATTATACAATAACAAAATATTATCAACAGTTAAAATAGTGCCTAATACTTATAGAGCGATATATGAGTATAAAAACCATAATCATATTCATTTAACGATTTTTTATATATATATATCGACATAATACATGCATAATACTTATTATATATGTTAATAAATCAACAACATATGATAATGAATCAATATCATAAATTAAGTTTATTATACATCTATTTAAACTATATCAATGATACAATCAAATAATTTAGAATTGATTCATTCACACAACATTTTTTAAACCTCAGAACAAAGCATTATGACACACAATAGATTACAATCGAGATTCGAAATCACAATCCATGAGTTGACAACACAAGGTCACCACTGGGGTAGGTGATGTCTTATGTGCCATATTGTTTCTAACCTCATTGATGTAGGACAATATATAATTAAACTATGTCAGTAACCTTACCACGAACAATGTATTCATGTGAAAAGATACCATTTTAGAAACAACATTGAATTTGTTATATGACAATGCTAAAAAACAACAAAATATATACCAATGACAGATAATAATATACATAATATTGTCTTATCATGCTTGTTGTCATATTATAAAAACCTTATCTATTTAGCACAAAGATAGTATACTTCGTCACTAATTATGTAAAAATCGAGTTTTTCTCTAACTAGTCCATTGCCAAGATTTACACATAGCATATCTCGTCTTATAGATATACTGCCAGATATATTAGACAATCTATGCAAATATAACACCTAAGGCATGTAATAGTGAGCTATAAACCTCCTCCACATCCCAGATTTGACCTTTGTACCAATAATATAGATGCACGTCTTGCAGAATTTGAGTAAAAAGAGATTAAAATAAAATGTAGCATAGAATGTGTAATTATAATTGTGGCCATTACTAAACGATCGTTCGGAGTTTCTAGATATTTCAGTCCACTGATGAATCATCAATATATTATGTTTATAGTTTTAAAAAACATAAAAACAAATGATCTAATGTCCTAAAAATATTTTATTCTATTGAACGTTATCATAATTTAGCTTACTGTTATCTATCTGGTACAAGGTAGGGCATGGAGACGTTAGTAAACACTATAATAAAGCAACACAACAAAGCTCAGTTTTAACCCAGTTTTAAAAAGATGCATAATTGACACCAAATCTCCCACATTTATCCACAATTTTTCAGCTTATCCATTGAATTACACGGGGAACCTACTGAGACCATGAACCACTTATTTGTGTATTATATAGTGTTTTAGTGTCTTGAAAAAGATATTCACCAAACTCTGCACCAAATGTAATATACAAGCACCTATACAAACATTTTACAGCATATCTCTATAACCTGTTGTTTTTGGGCATTAGTATTAATTTTACAGGCAATGTACATAATTATATATACAGGGTCGACAAATTGTTGTACTTTTTGAGTACATTTTCTGGTTATTTACCATAGTTAATAATAGGTTTTTATTGGGTATGAAATCAGCATTGTGTTTATGCATACTGTCAGACAATAGTATAATCATACACCAGTTATTAAATATAATGAAATAGGGCCAACAGAACTATTGTATCGAGATAATGAAGTATATAAAAAAACAAAGCAAGTATGTGACAATCTGTGTATCATAGAATGTGATGCTTAATATATAGGTTAGATGCTTTGATCACCTCAATGCCACACATATAAAGTGCTAGTCAGCCTTTGTAATGGGTACCACTGCTATCTATAAATGGTGGCTTGGGTAAATAATGCTTGTACATACGAGTGGTTCGAAATCAAAATACTTTCAGCACATACTCCAGCAAGGAGTTTTGAAATTTTGAAATATTGAAAAAGGTTATTAAAGATCTGGACAGTTTTCAGGGCCAATATGCTCTAAAAATGCAGAATAAAAGCACAACCAAATAGCCACCAGTGGCGTAGCGAGGGATGTGCGTGTGTGTGTGTGTGTCCGCCTATATACGCCACTATCTGCCACTGAATCTACATACACTGCTACTCCCTGATGGTATCAGTCTTAACTAATCTAGAACTATTTAATCGGAAATAGTCGTCATAATTAGCCTATTTAACAAGCTAATTTGAATATGGGCCAATATTTCTCTCATAATCTACTCTATTTTCCTCTCAATTTCAAATATTTCGTTCACTTAATGATGATGTTCGTTTAATATCTTTTGAAGATGTGAAAAAGTGTCGGTAAGATGTCCACTCTCTGCATTGTCCCGATGACTATTGTCAAGTTGGCAGTAAATCTTCCGGGTCTAAATCTACCCGAGTATATCATCGCACCATGAACAATCTGTAAGATAGTTTCTACTATTTGTTTGAGTGTGGTTAACATTGATTACATTACAGTATATACTCTCGACACGACCTTGATATCGACAGATTGATTTCATTTTATTATCCTATATAATTCGATATACTCCCTTGAACTATCGCCACAGCTTACAAATCTTGATATTAAGGCTACATAAATCAAATGCGTTGTATTAGTTATAATCTTAACAAAATAGGAATTCGCCTTATATGATGTTTAAAAGTACTAGGTGACAACAGTGTGTATGATAATTTATGCATTTTAAGTGGAACTTTGTTAAGAGCAGCTGGTGGCAACCCCGAAATTTAAAGAGTAAACTCACTGGATGGTTAAGTGTTAGCATATACAAACCTATTGTGTCACAACCTTCAATCCAAGGCCTGAGCAGTGCTGGACAATTACGGTCAATGATACTATTCAGAAAAAAATAATGGATGGTGGCAAGGAAAACATATGTTACCTACAAACAACTTTATTAAAATAACTAGTAGTCTATATAAGATTTCAACAGGTGTTCTTGTATTAAACATGACCGATGTCTACCTTAACTTCCCCAAATAGCTCACCATATCTTTCAAGGTCAAAGTCTACTGATATTTCCACGAACAAAGAATATTCTAGAGTAAACGTTGCACGGTTAATATTGAATATAGTAGATCTGTTAATAGCCTTATGGGTCTAAAATGATTATTGGTCGAATAAATGCGCATCTGGGTAGATATAACCATAGCAATGGGACGAATTTTGTTATGCGTCACAACCGGAACAATAAATAGATATTGTGTTTCATTTATCAACTTAATGGACTAATGAGAAAAGGCATTTTATTTTTTACGTCCTGTTCTGTACCGTTATCGAGCTTACAAACAGTTCACACTATACAATTATTGAGTTATTTTTAAATTTGAATATCGCTTCTTTAACATCAACATATTTATGCTTTTCGTCTTTCATTTCATACTTGTATGATTGTGACTTTACCTTTAAAATTGATTATAACAACACTGTTTGAACTTTCACTTATCAGTAATCTCCAACAAACAAAACCTTCATAATGGGTCAGGCTCTGCTTGAAATAGAATTATTTACAAAAAAGTCTTCTAACAGCTTAATATAATAGTAAAAAAAATAGTAATAAAAATGAGGCGTAACTGAGGTCGTTACCCTAGGATATGTATCAGTATTTTGGTCCTAATTTTGTGAAAATTTGTAACCGAATATTTGTCATTTGATATGATGCTTTTGCATTCAATATGTTAAACTATAATTTTTTTTTTCGCAAAATCTGATGCGTAATTAACTCTTGGCTAACAAGGATTTTATGTCCTGTTTTTGTTATCCGAAACCGTTAAACCGTGAAATATCACGTACATGTGAGCAGGAGCAGATTAAAAAATGGCATTACCTGTAATTTCTCAAAAGCAATTCTCATCATATATTATTTGCGAATTTACCCAATGCTTGGCATTGTAAGATGGATTGGGTTAAAGTCGGAACCCCGAAGTTTATAAGCTCGATTATATATTTAAATCTATAAAGTTGATTATGATTATTGCACATCATATTTGTCAAGGCTTAGTACGAATTCTTAATTCTCCCTATATTCATTTTGAGCTGAATACGCTGTGTTATAAAATAATATTTTACATTAATTAACTATCTTAATAACATTTTAAACTTAAGATTTTCTCAAGGTAGAAAACTATGATATCAGCTACCAGATACTTGGTATGAATAGAAGGTTTATAACTTGATAATATCTATCTTTTAACCTCCAAATTTTATGTAAGTGTTTTGAAACTGGAGGCGAGTTATCGTGGTTATTAATCAATGTCGGGTTTCGTCATAAATTGTTGAAACAGCCTGCAGGTAAACATAAATTATCCACGTCTCTCATCAGTTTTAAAACATAACCTTATTTTTATCAACTATTATAGGTATGATGTACAGATACCAATCACAATATACAAGTCCATATGGTGCAGATCGGCGTCATCATACATTGCATTGCATATGCATGAGCCAAACGAAAGGTTTATGACAGTTGGACGTAAAATCCCATTCCATTTGCAATGACATATTCAAATTTTTGAACCTCTCGTGGTTTTAATATATTTCTGACTTAAACGTTTTAAGTAGTTTTTTATGTTAACTAAAGCGATACGATGAGTGGCCTATTTGTAATTTAAGATTTAGAAGACAATCAACTTGTAGAGTTATACCTGTAACGGTGATATCCGTTTTTAAAGAATAAAAAAAACGCGCACTAATTTTGAATTTAAATTTTGCTGTAATAGTCCAAAGTTAGTTGTTGCAGAAAGTGCTCTGTATATTATTTAAATAAGGTGCCATTGGTATGAAGATTACAGTTATGTATTTATTGATAATATTAATGTATATTTATTCTTCGTTAGTTTTTCAATGGAAATACCGTTCTTAATCGTCCAATAATAAATGGGTTTACTCATCAGAACACTAAGAATAATCGT